AATTTAAAAAAAAAAAAAAAAAAAAAAAAAAAAGATAGATAGATAGATAGAAGTTGAGGCCACGTCCAGAGGAAACAAACCAGACTGCCTTCCCTCGGTGGCAGCTGTCAATGTCTCAGCACTCAATTAAGCCCCCTGGGAAAGGAAAAGTGGGTGGACAAGCAGCTAAAAAGTTGATAATTGGCACCTGTTATTGGTGTGTTGTTTTTCTTTGTGAGACATCATGGTTTGATCTGAGCGTATCTTGAAAATAAATATCTTATCAGAGGGACACAGCTCAGAATAAGAATAAGGCAGCATAATTGTCATATGGTTGACAGCTGAAAAACAATAACAATTACTTGTGTGAATTCTTTTTTTTTTGTGATTGAGTAATGTCAATTCTACCTTTTAAATTATATATAACAATTCTACATTTATCATTATGTACATTCTTTTTATTTTTTTGCATTTCTGTATGACAACTAAAGTTGTGTGTATTAACAGTTCTACCTTTTTCGTAATTGTATATGACAGTTTTACCTCTTAAACAACTGTATATTAGAATTATACCTTTTTTATTTGTACATGACAGTTCTACACATCTTTTGTGGATTTGTGCATGCCTACCTTTTTTACAATTGAATGTGGCTAGTTTGCAAATAATAATAAACATAATAATAAGCTTACAATTATACCAATAACAAATGCCATTTTTCTACTAGTGCAATATATGCATGGTTTAGTCAAAGCTATTAAAATGGCCATAAAATAATACTAATAATAATAAAAAAAATAAAAAATAAATAAAAAGGTCTAGTTAGTTTCTAAATACTGGCAAAAACACAAAGCTCACATCAACTCAACTTTGGATTTGTTTTATGGAACAATGCATCCACTCAGAGGAACGTCAGCCTTTTCCATGCTGAGAGCTTCGTTCCTGGGCTCTGGCTGAGCCTGTGGGGAATTGTTCATCTCAGATGCATTGACCTGCCTCCATTTTACCGTCACGATTCAATTTCACCAGGCCACCATCAACAACTTCCTTTGCACATTAATTAATCATTAAAGTGACAAGATGTGCACAGTTACTCCTACTTAATGTCAGAAAGCATCCCACAATGTCACACAGGTTGCTGCAGACCCATTTGACTTTCAAATCAACACTTCAAGATGGGGAATGACACACCGAGAATTATTTGCACATTGCTTCTTGTCATTCACTGGCTGACTCATAGAATAGAATAGAATAGAATAGAATAGAATAGAATAGAATAGAATAGAATAGAATAGAATAGAATAGAATAGAATAGGTAAGTGCTAGTATTAATTGGTCAGAAAAAGATGTGTCTTTAGATGTTTTTTTTGAAAATGGCTAAAGACTCAGCTGCTCGAATATATAAATAAAAGACACTTACGAACACACACAGGTGCTTGACCTGACCACCTGTGGTCTTGTTGGCAGATACGAACTGATGTCCCTATGAGCCGAAAGCCCAGGTTACACTGATAAACGACTGTGTCCCTATAACTAGATCCATCACCACTGATGTGGCCGTTAACTATCGGATCCGGAGAATCACAATGACCAGCTGAAAAAAGATTTCAAGTGGTCAGAATCAACAAACATCTCATTAAAATGGATCCTGTTATTAAACACACACAAATTCAAACTACGTGTTTTACAGAGCATGAAGTACGGACACATCAGCGCTATGTCCAGAGAGCACTCCGGGAGTTACTGCCTGACATTTTGATGAAATGTCCTCCGTGCTGTTTGGTCAAGCAGCAGGTGATGTGTCCTAGGGTCAGCGCTGATCGTCAGACAGTGGCATACCTCAGTTGAGCTGCTCTTACATGCTTGCTCAAGTATTTCCCCTATTTCCAGGATTATTTAGCACTACAGACGTCATAAATTAACATTGGCAACACAGGACTATGTGAATTTAGGGTTAGGGCTGTGGATGTCTGATAGGAACTTTGTTCTGGGACTAACAAAGGATGTTTTTCCAGGAACATGTCCTACTTAGGGAAATCACATTGTTCTTAGTGCTGTGCAATAATTAGAACTATACAAGCATAATATAATAGAGTAGGAATACATCCAGTAAACAGATTTGCTTTGCTCTACACATGAATATGGCTCAGTAATAATAACATCCAATCACAGAAGCCCTGCTGAAAGATGCTACTTACCCAGACATTTGGTCTCATCTCCACTCCAGAGACCGTTAGCCTGACACTCCCTCACGTGCGAGCCCACTAAAGTGTACCCTGTGTTGCACATGAAGATAGCTGTGGCGCCATAGGTAGTCAGAGTGCCCATCTTCCTGCCATTAGGAGGGGATGGAAGCTCCCCACAGGAAATAACTGGAGGAAATAGCCATTGCAATATCTTGAATACACATGGCACTTTTAGCTGAAATGGTCACATTGATGATGATGAATACAATATGCCATTCTTATTCACAGTAGCTACCAGGAAATGGAGGGGTGAAGGGGGCATGGCTAAAAGCAACACAGATGCATTTATATATTGGTGGACATGTCAAGTGTAATAGAAGTACACTAGTTAAAAGTTAAAAGTTTGTTGTTATTTACTCTTCACTCTCAGAAATAAAGGTACAAAAGCTGTCACTGGGGCGGTGCCTTTTCAAAAGGTACACTGTTGTTCCTATTAGGTTCTAATATGCACACTTTAAGTACTAATATGTACCGTTAAGGTAACAAACATGTACCTTTTGAAAAGGTACCGCCCCATTTTTGAACAATAATGAAGTATAACAACACAAAATAACACACATGGAAATCATCACACTTTAAATGCATACATACATGCTATTCTAGTTTTATAAAGATAATCAGGTCACACTTTAATTTAAGGTCCAATTCTCACCATTAACTTACTATTAACTACGAAACTTACTGCTTATTAATAGTTAGTTGTTAAGTTTAGGTATGGGGTAGGATTAAGGGATCTACAACATGGTCATGCAGAATAAGGCATGAATATGTGCTTTAGAAGTAGTAAACAGCCAATATATTAGTCATATGCATTCTAGTTAATAGTGAGAATTGGTCTTTAAAATAAAGTGTTACCACTAGATTCTTACATTTTCTGAAGGAAATGTGAGAGGTGACTGGCCATGTAAAACGTCTCAGGTTATGCATGTAACCATGGTTCCTCGAGGGAACGAGACGCTGCGTCGGAGAACGCTTTTGGAACGCCCTTCAGCATGATCGGCTCTGAATCACGTGTGTAATCAGTCCAATGGATGGGCAAGACATCATGGGCGGGGTGACATAGCGACCAGGAAGCTTAAAAGCGCGTGCGGTGAAACCGGCGTCAGCTTCTAGGAGTGAAGCAAGCACTGGCAGAGATGCCGTAAGTATGGCCCTGCGATGCAGTGTCTCGTTCCCTCGAGGAACCATGGTTACATGCGTAACCTGAGACGTTCCTCTTCAGGAACTCGAGCTGCGTCGGAGAACGCTTTGGGAATGAGTATGCCCACGCCTCCAGACTTTCAAATCTCTGCCTAGTGTGGAAGCCTGCACAGCTAGGGCGAGAGAACAGAAGAGCCCGGAGTGGCTCGCATACCTAGGCCATAGAACCTGACAGGTTAAGGGCGTGGACCATCCCGCAGCGTTGCAGATGTCCTGCATAGAGACACCTGCCAAGAAGGCCTTGGAGGTATAGGGTTAAATCTCTGCCACAATTCTGCGCGCAAAATATCATATTTTGAGCGCACAAAAGTGCATTTTGCAGGCACGTGATCTGAGTTTTGTGGAGAAAATGTTCATTTTGCAAAGAAAAAAGTTTTTTGAGCGCACTAAAATAAATTTTGCATTTAAAATAAGTTTTTGGATGTGTGCAGACCTTCTCTTTTGCACGTGCAACGTTTCACTAGCTTGCTCCCTTGATGCCCGCCC